AGGACAGCCCAAGAGGGCCCCAAGACGGCCCAAGAGGCGCCCAAGATGGCCCAAGAGGGCCCCAAGACGGGCCCAAGAGGGGGCCCAGAGGGGGACCACGAACCGCAAGCTCGAGCCTTCCGCCCCAAGAGGCCGCCAGGAGGCCCCAAGGAGGCCCCTCAAGAGGCCCCAGGAGACCCCCAAGAGGCCCAAAGGAGGCCCCGAGAAGCCCCAAATCGGCCCCCAAAATGCTTCGAACCTGCTTCCAGGAGGCCCCCGACAGGTTCAGAGGCTCCCGAGAAGCTACGTCAAACTCCCAGCGAGCGGCCGGACGAGGCCCCCCACAAAATCACAAGAGGGTTCCAGTATTTGTATCCTTCAGCGCTCTCTGGCCTTCTTCCCCCTGCCCCCTTCCCTGCGACTTTCGTTGACTCAAGCTCGCCTCCTAGCTAGAACCTAAGCGCGCGCGAAGCGCGCGCGTGGTTCTAGTGGTATCTGGTCGGTTCTCGTGGTCCGGTCGTGGCCCGTGATCTGTGGGTGAGGATCGTGGCTCTGGTCCACAGTACGGTTTTCCGTCGTATAGTGTGGAACAGACAGGTTATGCAGTGTGGGCCGCACGCATGTTAGCCAGCGTCGTGCGATCGACGTAGTGCAATCTATCCTCCTGCACATCGGTTTGCAACACCCATGCGGCTGTGAATGCGATGACTACTTGGCGCTGGCTGGCACGCCGCTGAGGCCGCGCCAGGGCGTGCACTTTCGCGCGCAGAGCAGCCAGCTAGTCTGGCGCGACCGACGCGACCGCGGTGCTGACCGCTGGGCTTTGTCCAGCGCCTCCTCACAAGCCGCGCTGACGCGCGGGCACTTCAGTGCGAGTCGTTGGGAGAAGCAGCCGCGATGACGATTGTAGCGATGTTGGCGACGACGGTGGCAGTGACGACGGCAAGGGCGTTGACGGCGTGTTGATCACACCGATAATGTCGATGATAATGATGATGATGACGATGATGGTTTCCGCGCGGTGGCGATGAAGGTTTTGGGAGGTGTTCGGCATGCGCGCACGGCCGACGTGCACGCGAGTGTCCGGCATGGTATTATTTGAGAGGGGCCGTGTGTGTATGGGGCCGTGTGTGTATATATATATATATATATACCATATATATATATATATATATATATATATAACACCAAAAAACACACACGCACGCGCGCGCGAAAGGCCTCGGGGCCCTGGCCCTGAATGTAAGTGAAGCAATCAGTGCCCCTCAATGTGACTGTTTTAATCCATGGCCCTCAATCGCATTGAGGGGTACTCCTTGTTTCAATCACATTCAGGGCCCTGGGCCTAATGCGGTTAAAACAAGTACATCGAGGGGTACGGATTTTTTCAATCACATTCAAGGCCCTGGGCCACATTTGATTGATCTTATGTATGGGGGGCAATATATATATATATATGAGAGAGAGAGAGAGAGAGAGAGAGAGCGTGATCCACCGCCGCTTTACGATGGAAAATTGCCAACTTTTTCCTCCGGAACCCGGGGGTTGCCCCCCCCCGCCTCCGAAAATCCCCCCCCTGCTGGAACCCCCCCCTCCCCCCCCCCTCTCCCGGAAAACGAAACCCTCCCCCCCCCCCCCCCTCGGGGGGGGTCACTACCGAAGCCGCTCCCCGAGCCAGCAAACGACTCCCGGTCCCCACCACCGTCCGCATCACATCCCCCACTGGTGTTCCCAGCACCACTGTCCTCACCACCGCTGTCCCCACTGGTTCCACCACCGCCCCTACTGTCCCCACCAGTGGCCCCACCACTGTCGCACTGTCCCCGCTGTCCCCAGAACTGTTCCCACCACGGTTCCACTCTCCCCACTGTCTCCACGGCCCCAACCACTGCCCGACTATCCCCACTGTCCCCACTGTCCCACTGACTCCTCCGCTGTCCCACTGAGCTGTCCCACTGTTCCCACCACTGTCCCCACTGTCCCCACCACTGTCCCCACTGTACCTCTGTCCCATTGTCCCACCGCCGTCCTCGCCACCGCCTTCACCACTGTCCCCACCACCATTGTACCCTCCACTGTCCCACTGTTTCCACCTCATTCCCATTGTCCCCACACCACTGTCCCCACCACCACCGTCACCACCACTGTCCACTGTCCCCCCCTGTTCCCACCATTGTCCCCACCACTGTCCCCACCACTACCGTCCCCACCACTGTCCCACTGTCCCACTGTCCCCACCACTGTCCCGCTATCCCCTCACCACTGTCCCCACCAACACCGTCCCCACCACTGTCCGCACCCCCACTCGGTTTTCGAGGGGGGGGGGGGTTCGAACCGGTAGTGACCCCCCCGGTTTTCGAGGGGGGGGGGGGGGGGGTTCGAACCGGTAGTGACCCCCCCCCTTTTCGGAACCGGTAGTGACCCCCCCCCGGTTTTCCCGGTAGGACCGGTAGGGTTTTTTCCCCAGCCGGTCTTCGGCCAGCAGCGGTAGAACACGCTCTTTCATTTATATATATATATATATATATGTTCAAGAAGTAAAAAAAAACTTCACATTGAGGGGCGCTGATTGTTTCAATCACTTTTCAGCGGCTTGGGCCGCGCGTGATTAAGAACAATCACATTGAGGGGCACTGGTTGTTTCAATCACGTTCAGGGCCATGGCCCTGAGGCCTGGGAGAGGGGGGGGGGCCAAACAAAAAAAACGGCTGACCGCCCAACTTGACAGTTTCTGTTGGTTCTCCTATTTCTTTTGCCTTCCACCCCACCCAGAAAAAAAGGCCGCAGGGCCCGGGCCCTGGCAGTGATTGAACTATTCCGTGCGCTTCAATGTGATTGTTTTAATATTCGGCCCTCAAACACATTGAGGGGTATTGATTGTTCTAATCAAAATTCAGGGCCCTGGGCCTAATGTGAATAAAACGCTCACACTGAGGGGTGCTGATTGTTTCAATCACATTCAGGGCCAGGGCCCTGGGGCTCGGGGGGGGGAGCAAACCAAAAAGAAGCAACGCCAAACACAAACGCCAGACCACCCCGCCCGGTTTTTTTCCCCCCCTCCCCCCCACCGAAAAAAAGGCCTCATGGCCCTGGCCCTGATTACGATTGAAACAATCAGTGCCCCTCAATGTGACTGTTTAAACGTATGGCCCTCAATCGCACTGAGGGGTGCTGATTGTTTCAATTATATTCAGGGCCCTGGGCCGAATGTGATTAAAACAAGGACATTGAGGGGTACTGATTGTTTCAATCACACTCAGGGCCCTGGGCCAAATGTGATTGATTTCATGCGCGAGGGGCGATATAAAAACCATTCACACTGGGGGGGCGCTGATTGTTGCAATCACTCTTCAGCGCCTTGGGCCGTGCGTGATTCAGAACAATCACATTGAGGTGCACTGATTGCTTCGATCACATTCAGGGCCATGGCCGTGAGGTTTGGGAGAGGGGGGGGGACCTCCCAAGAACGACAGACCACCCAACCTGACAGTTTTATGCGTTGTTTCTCATATTTCGGTTTGCCCCCCCCGTACAAAAAAAAAAAGCCTCAGGGCCCTGGCCCTGGATGTGATTGAAACAATCCGTGCACTTCAATGCGATTGTTCTAATATCCGGCCCTGAATCGCATTGAGGGGTATTGATTGTTTCAATCAAATTCAGGGCCCTGGGCCTAATGTGAATAAAACAATCACATTTAGGGGTGCCAATGCCAAGCATTGCCAAGGGGCCTTGCGGGAGAGGTCTCGCAGCCTGTGTGTCGAGGCCTCGCAGCCATTGGTGGATCGCTTCGGAGTCTGCTGGGCAAGCCTGTGGGAGAACCTCGATGCATATCCTGAGCCTTTTTGGGGATGCTCCAGAGCTGGGGAATTTGCCGTCTTGGCATGGGCGATGCATTATTGCTGACAATGCTTAAAATTGATCGACATCGAGTGATCGTGCTAGGCGTGGCTTGGCATCGGTTGGTGGTGCTTGGCGTAGTTCGGTCGTGCTTAATTTGGTGGCCGTGCTTGGAGTTGTTTGGCGTCTGAGGTCGGGTGTGCATTGCTCGCCATTGTGTGGGGGGTGCTTGGCATTCCTGGGCGTTGCGTGGTCGCGCCTTGCAGTACTTGGTCGTGCCCGGCATTGAGTGGTCTCGCTTGGCACTGCTTGGTGTTGGTTGAACGTGCCTGGGGCTGCTTGGCATTGAGTGGTCGTGCGTGCCTTTGTCTGGCACTCGTTGTCGTGCGTGGCATTGCCTGGCGATGCTTGGCATTGGTAGGCCGTCAGTGGAACTGCTTGGAATTGAATTGAGTGCCCCTGCTTGGCATTTGTCGGTCGTGCTCGACATTGGTTGGCCGTGCTCGGCATTTGGTGTTCGTGCGTTGCATTCTTGGCATTGCCTGTTCCTGCTCGGCACAGCTTGGCAATGTGTGGTCGTGCCTGGCGTTCCCTGGAATTGATTGGTCATGCTTGGTACTGCTGGGCAATGAGTGGTCGTCTTTAGCATTGCTTGGCATTGTTGGCAATGCTATGCATCGCCTGGCGTTGATTGACATTTTTACTGGTTGTGTTTGGCGATGATCGGCGTTGCTTACTTCGGCTTGGCATCGCTTGGCAATGGGCGGTCCTGCTTGGCATTGCTTGGCACTGCTTGCTCATGATTGGCGTCGGTTTGCGTGGTGCGGTCGTACTTGGCGTAGCCTGGCATTGGGTGTTCGCGCATGGCATTGCCTGGCCGTGCCTGGCATTGGCCGCTCGAGCTCGGCGCTGTTTTGCTTTGGTCGTGCTTGGCATTCGGTGCCCCACCCCCAAGGCCTCTCGGATAAGCCTTTTTAGGGCTTCCTGGGACAAGCAATGCCAAGCAATGGTAAGCACGACCAACCAATATACAGCGATGCCAAGCACAGGCCACCAGTGGATCACCAGTTGGGTGACTGGCCCACCAATGGAATTCCCTGGGGTGGCTGGCCCACAGACAGGAGACATTCCTTGGAGTGAATGGTTTTACCAGCGTACCCCCCCTGGCCATAGGGGGGCGGGAGGAGTCGTACGAGCGGATGGTCCGAATTGCACAGCCCCTGGAGTGGAGGGCCCGCCAGTGGACTTTCTGCCGTGGAGAGTTCTCTGGCGTGGAGATCTCATTCGCGGCCCCCCCTTGGTGTGGCATGTCCACCAGTGTCCTCGCACAGCGCTCGGTCTCCCTCCTGCTGCGCTGCTGCGCAGGCACGGTGGCGGGGTTTGCCGCGGCAGCTTGTTGTGTATATATGTATCGGGCGAAGAGAACTATGCACATGCACCGATCCTGGCAAGGCCCACCCTTGACCCAGGATCGGTGCATATGCCTTCCTGGCCAAGGCAGGAGGGCGTATGCACCGATCCTGGGCTCAGGACGGGCCTGGCCAGAATCGGTGCATGTGCATAGTTCTCTTTCCTCTATATATGCATATACACATATAGACGTATACGTGTAGATCGGTGTGTGTGTGTGTGTGTGTGCGTTCGGCTGTCCCCTTCGCAGCACCCTGGCCTGAACACTGCCCGACTGCCGAGGGGGGGGCCTCCGGCCCCGCCCAAAAGGACCCATTGGGGCCCCGCCATTGGTTCTGCGGCGTGTCGACGGCGAGCACCGCCCAAAAGGACCCATTGGGGCCCCGCCATTGGTTCTTGCGGCGTATCGACGGCAAGCACGGCGAAGCAATGCTACGCATGGCCAGCCAATGCCAAGCAATGGATTGCAAAAAAAACGAAGGATTGCAAAAAAACGAAGGCTTTTTTGCAATCCTTCGGTTTTTTTTGCAGTCCTTCGTTTTTTTTGCAATCCTTCGTTTTTGCAATCCTTCGTTTTTTTGCAATCCTTGGGTTTTTTTGCAATCCTTAGTTTTTTTGCACCGGCACTTGCCAGCCATTAGAAGCCACTGGCCATCAACGCTAAGCAGTGTCGGGCATGGCAGGGCAAGTTCCGGCGATGCGGAGCACGACCTTTCACCGTCAATCAACGGCAAGTCTGAAGCTTCTGTATGCAGATAATACACACGGCCATACATGTTCGCACATACACACATACAGACTATTCTCGGAGGTCCCCATTGCAATGCCCTGAACACGACCCGAAGGCCGAAGGGAAGGTGAGGGCTCCTTCAAAGGCCCATGGGGTCGCAGTCATCAGCCCTGGGGGTGCTTCAGCGGCAAGCAACGCCAAACCATGTCAATCAATGCCAAACAGGACCAACCAATGTCGATCAATGCAAGCACAACCAATCGCTGCCAATCGATACGAAACGTGAACCATCAGCACCAAACAGTGCCTTGCACGACCAGGCAATGCCAAGCGTTGCCAAGCACGGCTACTCGTCGCCAAACAATGTTATGCGCTACCAGCCAATGCCACGCAATGGAACGCATGGTCAGTCAATGCCAATCAAGACCGACCAACGTCAACCACGACAAATGCCAAGCACGATCACCCAACGCCAAGCACGACATATCAATGCCAATTCCCGACGAGCGCGCCCGATCAATACCACGCACGGCCAAGCAATGCCAAGCACGACCAACCAATACCAAGCAATGCCAGGCACGGGCCACCAGCGGATCACTACTTGGGTGGCTGGCCCACCATTGGCATTTTCTTTTCTGGGGGCCTGGTCCACGTACACACACACACACACTCACTCCTCCCTCACACACACGCACACACGCACACACACACACACCAACACACCACCACCACCACCACGACCACCACCTTACACACTCCCGCGCGCACGCAAGCCCTGAGTGGAGGCTCTACAATTGGGCGTCCTTGGAGTGGACGGCAGTGGGCCAACCAGACAGTGGAGGGACCAGCAGTGGGCCACCCTTGGGGTGGACGGACACCGTCAGTGGACCACCCTTCGGTGGTTGGCTTACCAATGGAGTTCCCCTGGGGTGACTGGCCCACCAGCGGACTTCCCCCCACCCAGCCAACAAAACGTGCGCGGCGCTAAGGCGAGAATCAGATTTTCGAGAGAATGTGCGCGGCGCTACAGCGAGAGGCCGAAATTGGACAAATGTGGCTCCCCAGACCGCCACCCCTGAATCCCCCGCCCACCCCTCCCTGGGGGCTACCCATCGCTTGTGCGGAGAGCCTCGCGCAACAGTCGCCAGTTCCAAGCAGGCGAGGGCAGAATGAATTCCAGGCGAATGCCCCCCCTTGCCCCCTCCATGTCGGGGGCCCGAGACCCACTGGGCCAGGCTCTTGCAGAAACAAATGTGTGTTCGACCGGATGGCGGCGGGGACTAGTGTTACGAGGGTGGAACACCCGCTAGGGTGTGCCCCCCGTAGAGCTTCACTTGGTTGCGGCACCGTTTTCCTGACGGGGCCTTTGGTGGAGCAGGGCGGTCGAGGGTTTTCCTGCGCCTCTGTTGTCTTTGTCGTCCCTGGCTTCGTCGGCGTTGCCAGGGTTGCCCCGAACTTGGCTGTTTCTCCGTGGCATTATTCGTGCGCCATTCATCCGCGTGGCATTTATTTGCGTTTGTTTGCGTGGCATCAGTTGCGAGCTATTTGCATTCACGTGCGTGGCAATTGGCACTTGATTGCAGCTGGCGGCTCTCCGTGTGCCGTCGCGGCAGTGCGGCAGCGTTTGCGCAGTCTTTTCTCGCCCCCCGCGCCGTGTTCAGGGCCAGTCGGCTCTCCAGGTTGCCTTTCTCTGGGCGGGCCCTGGTGCGTGCCGTTCGTGAGCCGTCGGGCTTGACCTGCCCTGCCTCCTGGCGGGCGGCTGGCGCGGCCCTCTCCCTGCCAGCTCCCTCTCCCCCCCAGCTTGGGAGGTGTGGAGGGCAGGCAGCGGCCACCGCCACCACCGCCCGTGCCCTTCTGCATCACTCCTGGGCGCTGAGCTCTTCTGCTTCATTTCCGGGTCGGCGCCTGCCCCGCGATCCTCGCGGTGGGGGCAGGCGGCCTCTGCTGGCGCCCGAGGGGGTCGGCGTCCCGACCCCCCCCTGCGCTGTGTTCGCCTGGCAAGGGAGACCTATGCGGCGTTCGCCAATGCAGTGCGGCATCCTCCTTCCCACCTTCCCCCCTTCAGGAATGACACACAACAGGGAGCGGGAAGAAGACGAGGAGCGGGAACAGGAGGAAGAGGAGGAACAGGAGGAAGGAAAAGGCGAGAGGAGGCGGAAGGGGACGAGGAGAAGCAGGAGGAAGAGGATCGACCAGTTTTTGGACCAGCCTTGATCACCGCCGATAGACCAACGCTCTGCGCATCTGGATAACATATTCCTCGCACGTGGTTCTTCACATGACCATATGGTTACCGATTTTCATGCATACACATATGGATACATACATGTGTTTATATATTTACACATGCATAGGTCGATTTCATTCAGAGTTAATGGTGGCCCCCGCCGGATGAAACAGGCATCCCACTAGCTTGACAACCTGGCTCAGGGTATGACACCATTGAGTTGGCTGATTGGAGCGAGTTCGCCATGGGTTGGCCGATGGCCGCGGCAGGGCAAAGTGCGTTAGGCAGTTTAGACAACCTGGAAGGGCGCTGGGTTTGAAACTAGCTCGCCCAGATTTGATATTTGAGGAGGTCGCATCGATACAGTGGGCCAGAGCAAAACACCCTTTGACCCGCAGGGGACCGTCATTGTAATCACAGGGCGCGCTTCCGCCAAGTGGCAACGTAGGGTGGCGCGCCTCCAAGGCGATGACCATGACGATGACGATGGCGATGACGATGCATGTTGAATGCTGAACGCCGCCAACCCAGCGGCAGGCGCAGGCGCAGGCGCAGGCGCAGGCGCAGGCGCAGGCGCAGGCGCAGGCGCAGGCGCAGGCGCAGGCCGCCGCCAGCGCGTCGCGGCAGGCTCGCTGAGCGCCAGGGGAAGGGAGGAGAAGTGGGGAGTTTCCTGACGCGCGTCGGCGTCCTTGTGCAATTCCTGCCGACGTAGTGTCTGTCCGTGTCCTTCCGGATGTTGGCTGTTGTTCCCGACCATTTGTGGTGCTGAATCCTCGTCTTGAAGAGGCAGCGCCCCGCGTCACTGCTCCCGCTGCCCCCCCCTTCCCCCGCGCAGTCCGCATGGCGGCGCCGCCCCATTTTGGCACACCCCTCACACGTTTCGTGGCCCCATAGGGAGTTCCATCTAGGGTCCCAGCGGCAGGGTTCGCATGCAGTTCCATTTTCATTTCGGCGCACCCCTCACACGGTTCGTGGCCCCATCGGGAGCTTCATCGAAGGCCCCAGCGGCAGAGTTCGCGTGCAGTTCCACATCCATTTCGGCACACTTTTTACACGGTTCGTGGCCACATAGGGATCTCCTCCGAAGGCCCCCGTGGCAGGGTTCGCATGCAGTTCCACCCTTATTTCGGCACTTCCCTCACAGGGTTCGCGGCCCCATAGGGAGCTCCACCGAAGGCCCCAGCGGCAGGGTTCGCATGCAGTTCCACCGTCATTTCGGCACACCCTTCGGTTCGTGGCCCCATAGGGGGCTCCGCCGAAGGCTTCAGCGGCAGGGTTCGCATGCAGTTCCACCCTCATTTCGGCGCACCCCTCACACGGTTCGTGGCCCATAAGAGGTTCCACCGAAGGTTTCAGTGGCAGGGTTCGCATACAGTTCTGGCTTCATTTCGGCGCACCCCTTTCACGTTTCGTGGCCCCATAAGGGTTCCACCGAAGGCTCCAGCGGCAGAGTCCGCGTGCAGTTCCACCCTCATGTCGGCGCACCCTTCGGTTCGTGGCCCCATAGAGGGCTCCACCGAAGGCCCCAGCGGCAGGGTTCGCATGCAGTTCCACCCTCATCTCGGCGCTCCCCTCACACGGTTCGTGGCCCATAGGAGGCTCCACCGAATGTTTCAGTGGCAGGGTTCGCATACAGTTCTGGCCTCATTTCGGCGCTTCCCTCACACGGTTCGTCAGGGTTCACATGCAATTCCACCCTTATTTCAGTGCACCCCTCACACGGTTCGTGGCCCCATAGGGATCTCCTCCGAAGGCCCCCGTGGCAGGGTTCGCATGCAGTTCCACCCTCATTTCGGCATTCCCGTCATTCGGTCCGTGGCCACATAGGGGGCTCCACCGAAGGCCTTAGCGGCAGGGTTCGCATGCAGTTCCACCCTCATTTCGGCGCACCCTTTACGCGGCTCGTGGCCCCATCAGGAGCTCCTCCGAAGGCCCCAGCGGCAGGGTTCGCATGCAGTTCCGCTTTTATTTCGGTGCCCCTCTCACACGGTCCGTGGCCTCCTATGGAGTTCTACCGAAGGCCCCAGCGGCAGGGTTCGCATGCAGTTCCGCCTTCATTTCGGCGCACCGCTCACACGGTTCGTGGCCCCATAGGGAGCTCCACCGAAGGCCCCAGTGGCAGGGTTCGCATGCAGTTCCACCCCTATTTCGGCACGCCGTTCACACGGCCACCGAAGGCCCCAGTGGCAGGGTTCGCATGCAGTTCCACCGTCATCTCGACGCACCCCATAGGGAGGTCCGCCGAAGGCTCCAGCGGGAGGGTTCGCATGGCACCGCCGCACCCAATTCGGTGCACCCCCATCACACGTCTCGTGGTCCCAGAGGATGCTCCACCGAAGGCTCCAGCGGGAGGGTTCGCATGGCACCACCGCGCCCAATTCGGTACGCCCCTCGAACGGTTCGTGGTCCCAAAAGGAGCTCCGCCGAAAGCGGTACTCACAATGCGGTACTCGCAGTTGCACATGGTTGGGTTTTTCGCCAGGCAATTTTTGCACGCGTCCTGCTCAATTATTGCCGAATTCTTTATGAATGCTTGTTTTGATCGCGCACGTGTTGTTTAATTCTGGTGTGATTTCGCCGGGGTGTTGGGCTTTCCTGTGTAATGCCAATTCAATGCATTCCCAATTCCTCCGGGCTGCTTGGTTTCTTGTTTACGTCTTGCAGACTTCCTGCACAATTTCTCGTTGATGCTCGATTGTCCTGTCGAACTCCTGCTAGATTCTTGTTTAGTTCCTCCCGAACGCTCTGTTCCCAATTATCCTGTGGTGTTGGGTCCTGCTTCCTGGCACCAGACACTGGGCTTAGTGCCCATCGGCGCACTGGCGCCCGCGTCCCAGGCGGCTTCGCCTTTCGCCTTGCGTGGGCTGCCCGCCTTGTTTTCCTGCATTCTGCTTCTCTTCTTCCCCTCTCGGGTGCACGGCGCCCCCTTTGCGATCAGCAGTCTGCCTGCTGCGCGTCGGCGAGTTCGCCGCAGCGGCCCGGCGCTCGCCCGGGAGGCCTCGAGGCTGCAGGTTAGCGGCATTGGGCGTTGCGCTTTTTGGTTGTGTTTGGGATGATGGCCGATGTGCCAGCGAACGCGCCTAAAGGCGCGCGGCCGTGACCGCCGCGCGCCGCGTTGCGCGGGTCCTGGCGAGCTCGCGCCGGGAGGGCGCGAGCGTGGCCGCTTTGCCAAAAGGATTATCCTTATCTTTCCTCCTCCTCCTCCTTCTGTCTTCTTTTTTGTTTAGTGCCCGCACGCCTGCGCGTAACTTGTATAGTATGTCCGTTGAGACTGCAGGTAATGCGCGGCGGGAGTGGGGACTTTCGGGTTTCCCATTTTGGTCTCTGTAGCCACTCGGGCTCGAGACCTAGGGTTGCCCACCCACCCCGCTTTGCTCCCTTTGGGCACTTTCGCTGCTTCGGCCGATGGGCCGGCGAGCGTGACTAAAGGCGCGCAGCCGTGACCACTGCGCGCCGTTCTGCGCGGGCCCTTGCGGGCTCGCGCCGGGAGGGCGCGAGCGTGGCTGGTTTGCCAAGAGGAGAATCCTGATCTTTCCTCCGTCTTGGTCTCCCTCCTCCTTCTCTTCCTCCTTTCTCCTTCTGCGTTTAGTGCACACGCGCCTGCACGCAGCCCATGGCACGCCCCGTGGCACGCCCGTTGGCGCGTCCTTTGGGACCGTTCCGCGGCGCGTCTCCCTGGCATGTCCCCCTGTCAATTAGCTCTGGGGAGCAGCTACTACGTGCTCAGGTAGATCGAGCATACGATCAATATCATATCGGTCAGGGCTCGGATACAAAGGGGGACTCGATCCACAACGCTGTAGAGCACAATCGCGGCAGGGTACATCGCAATTTAGCACGGCGCTGCACAGCGCAGCCTTTGGCACGGCACATCCAGGTCGATACAATCGGCCTTGCAGCTTGGCGCGTCACATGTTGAAGCCCCCTTGGCACGTCGCGCAGCGCGTCCCCTGGCACGTCCCGTGGCACGTCCGTTGGCATGTTCCGTGGCGCGCCCTTTTGGCACCCCCTGCGGTGCGTCCCCATGGCACGCCCCGTGGCACGTCCCCTGGCGCGTCCTTTGGGAACGTTCCGCGGCGCGTCCCCCTGGCGTGTCCCTTTGTCAATTAGCTCTGGGGCAGCTACTATGTGCTCAGGCAGCTCGAGCTTAAGGTCTACATCGGTCCGGTCAGGATTCGGATGCAAAAGGGGGACTCCATCGGCAACGCTGTAGAGGACAATCGCGGCAATCACATCGCAATTCAGCACGGCGCAGCACCGCACAGCCCTTGGCACGATACGCCAAGTTCGATCCACTCAGAATTGCAACTGCCAGTCGCCCAACCAGGTGTTTTGAAACGCTGCCATGCCTTACGTTTCTATTTCGTTTCCGGTTTAGTGGGCCGATCATATTTTCGCCGAGTCGGAAGGGGCTCCTCGTATACACTATTCACCACGTCGTTTGGTTTGCCAATGAACTGCGCAATTCGGTACACGATTTTGGTGAATATACGCTTCAACGTCCACATATTGAGAAGTTGGGGCGTCGTTGCACCGAGCTCCATGTCAGGAAAAAACAGCTGGGTGAATACTTCCAGTTCCTCCTACATCATTTTGATGTAAGAAAACCATTGCACACGCAGACGACACGCGTTTGTTCAAGTGCGACAGTTGCCCCCCCCCCCCCCCCTTCACCAGCCCATTTGACCCACCACTTGGGCGAGGGGCGTGGGTATTTGGGGGGGGGGCGGGTTTTCTGTTGTTCCATTCGGCGTCGAGCTCGTTTGATCCTTCGAGCGACATGCCCGTTGGCGGCGAACGGATTGCTAGTGCTTTCCTGCGCGGTTCCCTCCGCACGTCTTCGACACTCCACGGCCAAAGTGCGTTCGCACGTGTCCACCGTTTCGGAGGTTTGGTTTGGAACCTCATGGGCATTGCTGTTGCGGGCGAGAATATGTGTGTACGCGTGGGTACACACTTGTACAACTGCCCATACCAGATCGATGTATAAAACTATGTTTGTGCATACAGCCAAGACGCTGACATAAGGAACGCCTCGGGTGCGGAAGGGCCTCGCTGTTCCTTAAGCTCTTCCATGGTTCCTCCTCCAGCATTCCTCGTGCACCTAGGCGCTTATGAGGCCAAGGAGGGGCTTCGTGTCTTATGTAGCGTTTCTTACGATAGTACCTCGACTGCACCTGGCGCCCCCTTGGTCCCGATAAGGTGTGGATGCAATGGCCTCGCGCGGAAGGGCGTGGCGCGAGGGCCCGCGGCCTTCCAAGAAAGCAGGGGGCTTCTCAGACGAAGCCCTCCCGCTTTCTTGTTGACATCCTTGAGAGCCTCCGAGCCTCTCCTCAAGTCGGGAACTGGAACATATACACTATCAGTGGCGAGTCGTTTTTCAATCCCACGACTTTTAAAGGGTCAGGGACGACGTCGGGGTGGTGTGGTGTATACTTTTCCCCCCGTTTTCCAAGGGAAACAACGAAACATGTATACACCACGATTCCGTATACACCAGGATCCGCGTTCCTGTCCGAATTTCAGCGCAGTGTCGGGAAAAGCGTCGGTGTATAGAGTTCGGCTCCTTATAATGGTCGCCCGCCTCAACACACAATCCCGCGAGCCAAGTGTGGATGCTGCCCGCCGGTGCAGCTTGTCACTGGTGCCCGCACCGCCCCGTCCTGACTGAGGAAGGAGTCGCCAGATCCGTGGCTCCTGAGTGGGCCTGGATCGGGCACACCATGCATTCGGAAATCTACCGCAGCCACCCCAGGCCCGGATATTGTGTGTCTTGGGTTGGCTGGGTGCGGGTGGTCTAGTCGGCAGTGAGCGCTCGCGACGCACGTGCACTTTGCATGTGGACTCGTCCATGGTCATTCAGCTCATGCACCTCCCGCCGCTCACGCTCGCCCTCCTCCCCTTACCCTCCGTATCTCTCCCCCTTTGATCATCCTCCCTCCCGCCCTCTTCCTTCTCACCCTCCTCTCGCTCTCCCTCTTGCTTCACCTTTCCTTCCTCCCCCTCTTCCTGCCACTTCTTCCCTTCATCCTCCGCCTCCTTCCCTCCCTCTCTCTCCCCCTGCCCATCAGCCCCTCACTCCTCCCCTCCGTTCCCGCCTCTGCCCTGGCTCCCTTCTCCCCTTCTTTTCTCGTCCTCGTCGTCGCCCTCCTCGCCGTCGTCGTACTCTCCCTTTCCGTGGTCGTCCCGGGACCTCCGACGCTGTGATGTGTTTTCAGCCAGTGACCCCCCGGTGTTTGGACCTCTTCACTGAGGGGGTTCTCCGCCCCAGGCCGGTCCTGATTCCCCCTCCCCCAATGGGCCACAGGAATCAGTCGCGGGGGCCAGAAGTCGAGGAGCGAGAACGCGCCGATACGCCGTGCGCAAACGCAAATCGCGACGTCGAAAGTCTGGCTCCTCGCCCTCGTCGCCGCGGTCGTCCACTGTCTCGCTCTCGTCGTCGCCGCCGCGTGGCGTCGGCCTCGTGGCGACGACGGCGACGGCGACCACGCTTGCGACCACGGCTGCGACGACGAGGACGATGACCATAGCCACGACGTCCACCCACGACCACCACGACGGTCACGACTGGGACCCCCGACGCCCTGCGGACTTCGAGGCCCCAGGAGGCCCAGAAAGGGTGCAGGAAGCCCGAACATCTCGAGGCCCGATCGAGGAGGAGGCGGAGGAGGAGGAGGAGGAGGGAGGAGGAATGAGGAGGAGGGAGGAGGAGGGAGGAGGAGCAAGCCTCGGCCCTCGGACCTCAATGGCGACCACAGTGGCGACGGCGACCGCGACGCCGCCCTTCGCCCCGCGCGCGAAGGCTCCCGCCGCGCCGCCCCACGGCCCAGGGGGGTTGGCGCCTCTGCCGCGGACGTCGTCCTTCGGCCACGCGCCGTCGTACCCCGGGGCGCCTCCGGGCGGCTCGTCGTCGGCGTCGTCCCCGCAGACGTCGGCGTCGTCGTCGGCGGCGTCGTGGTCCCGCTTCCGTCGTCGGCAGGAGCGACGGAAGTTCCCGGAAAGGGCGTGGGCCCATGATTTTTGTTATCTGTGTTCTTCCCGGATGGACTTGAACATGGCCGGCGGAACTATTCTGCGATAGCTAACCAGTCGACTACACGTAATAGTGACCCTTCGCCGGAGTGACCTTTGGTGCTGGCCCAAAGGGGGTCGGGTGATTTTTCTTATGGAGTGAGCTCGACCTCTCGTCGGCACCCGCATCGCGCGATTACGATCGCATCTGAGCGCGCCAGGTTTGGGCCCAACCCTTGCAATCGACAGCAACGCACACGCGTCGCACCCATGCAGCTTGCATTGGTTACCTGGGGGGGAGCCCATCGACCAGACGGCGCGATTTCCGGCCCAGGACCAGTCCCGAATTCCAGCCCAAGTCTGAAAACGTGTGGCTTGAAGATCATATTTGGATATCTTCGAATATTTTTGAATATCTTTGAATATCTTGGAATTGTGCTTTGAATTAAAGTGGGGCTTTTAGCCCCATAAGTTTTCGAAAGATATTCAAACATATCCCTGGCTCTTGGATGGGGCCGTTTTTGTCCACGACGCCGGGCCTAGGCAGACGTCATCGCGATGCAGCCCGGCAGTGCCAGACCTCGCGGTGTCCCCCTGCAGCGTCTGCTTTTGCAGCGCTTTCGAAGCGCCATCCGGGGCGCTCGAAGTAAATCGGCGGACTTCCGCGGTTGCCCGCTGGCACAACAAATTTTTCGGGTGGGGCCCCGCCGATCGTTGATGCGGCGCGGCTTCGCCGGTTTGCGCGATTGTGTTGGGCCCCCACGGGCGCCCTTGAAGCCGCGAACCGAAGGTCCCTCTAGCCCAGGGTCACTCCTACGTGTAGTCGAACCAGGTTGAAGAGGGCCGGCGGATTTTTTGTCGGGGGATGTTCCGAGCGAAACGCTTGTGTTTCTGAATTCGTGGAGGATGTCTCCGGCGAAACGCTTGTTTTGTATGATTGATTGTTCCTCTCCTGGGGACCAGGATTCGGCGGATGCCTCAGGTGAAATGATTATTTTCACCTGCCCAGATATTGAGGGTGTCTCGAGCGATACGCTTGGTTTCACGCGCCCACGCTGCCCAGGCATATGCTTAGCACGAGGATGCGTTGAGGAATGGCACTGCGCAGTTCAGCACGGCACAGCACAGCACAGCCGTCGGCACGGTACATCAAAATTGATATTCTCAGCACTGCAACCTGGCGCGTTCCTTGGTACGTTCCTTGGCGCGTCCCGTGGCGAGTCCCCTTGGCACGTCGCGCGGCGCGTCCCCCTGGCACGTCCCGCGGCACGTCCATTAGCACGTTCCGCAGCGCGGATGTGTAGCATGAGGATCTGTCGAGGATGTGTTGAGCGAAACGCTCGGTTTCGTGTGCCCAGGTCGCTCAGGCATATGTCTAGCATGAGGATGCGTTAAAAACGTTACGAGCGAGACGCTCGTTTTCTCGTGTCCAGGTCGCCCAGGCGGATGCCGAACATAAGGATTTGTTGAGGATGTCTCGAGCGAAACGCTTGTCGCAGTAGAGTGCGTCGCAGTCCATCCCCCGCCCGTGCGCGGGGCGTCTCCTGGCGCCCTGGCGCGCTTCCCGGCGCGTCCCTTGCGACGTTCGGGCGTGACGTACCCTGGCGCGTCCCCGAGCGTGCCACTCGGCGCGGCACGTTCCCTGGCTCGTCCTCTGTCGCGTTTCCTTGCTCGTCTCCAGGCGTTTCCCCTGCCCGTTCCGTGGTGGGCCCCTTCCAAAGTCCCTTGGCATGATGTCCCTTGGCCGCCCCAAGGCACGCGCTTTTGGCACGGTCCCGTGGCACGTCAAGGGCACGTCCCTTGATGCGTTCCCTGACACGTCCCCTGGCGCATCCCCTATTGCGCCCCTGTCACACCATGTGGCGCGTCCGTGAGCCTGTGCCCCGTGTCGTGTCGTTCCTGTTCGGAGCTGAGTCGGTCTCCGAGGTCGAGTTGATTGAAAGTCCTCCACGTTTCCACTTCAACCTGTTCTGGGCGGTTACTATGTGCCCACGAAGCTCGAGCTTAATACTCCGATCAGTTCAATCAGGACCTCGAAAGGCACGGAGGATACGATCCTCAACGCTATAGAGCACAACCGCGGCATTGCACATCGCAGTTCAGTTCAGCACGGCACAGCACACCCTTGGGCACGGCACGCGCAGATCGATGCAATTCAGCATTGCATTTGCCCGTCGCCCACTCAAGGGTCATGAAAACGTTGCCATGCCTCGCGTGTCCTGATCCATTGCCAGGGTCGTGTGTCGATCATGTTGGCCACTTTAACAGGACCAGTTGTCGGCGCCGCCACGGGCGCTGTTCGTTTGGGACGAACGTCACCTGCGCAGCAGCGGCCGCTGACGCTTTTGGACAACATCCGCCGTTGCGCATCGTTCCTATATGTTCCGTCTCCACTTCGGGCGTGCGTGCCGCGCGTAGTGAGACAAAGCAAAGCATGAGGTCGTTCTCGTTGTTTCTGGGGGATGTGTCGAAATCTCGGGGAACCCCGCAATGAGGACAAACATAGCGCCCGTGGTCTGGGCTCCTCCCTTTTTCCTCTGCTTGCCTCCACCTCCGCGGCCTTTTCCTCCATCCTGTCTCCTGGTCCTCACTCCTCCTCCATCTCCTCTTCGTCCCTCCCTGTGCTGCCCCTGCTGCATCCTCCTCCTACTCCTCCTTGTCTTCCAGCCCCTTTTCCGCGTCGAGTCGCCTCCAGGTGGGTCGTTTTGGCAACCCCCGCTGAAGGCTGAGCGCCGACACCTTCCCGGCCGAGCAGGGCCCTGCACCGATGTCCCTTGTTGCTTGACCCTTGCGGTGTTCGCCGAGGGCCCATGCGTTGCAAAGTCTTTGGATGCAATGCGCGCAGTCTCGTGCAGCCGACGCGGGCTGAAGAGATCGCAGTGCTCGGCTGACACTCCCCATCCATGCGGTGATCGGCACCAGGCTCCGCGCCCTGCCGTCCGAGGAGGTGCGGCGCCAGTCCAACGTCGCGGGCCACGACTACGTGCACTTCGGCTGCGGTAGAGACCCATTCACCAACCGCTCGGCGGGCGTCCGCATCGGGTTTCGGAGGCGCGACCTGGCGGCCCGTTTCCATCGCGTGGTGCCTGGCCTTGCCGCCGCTCGTGGTCGCGCGGGGTTCGCCCGCGTCACCTCGGGTTCGCACGACCTCGCGTTGTCGCGCTCTACTTCCCGCCGCGGCACGCAGACCACTTGGAGACGCGCCGTGGACGTTTGCATCGAGTGGCTGGGCGCGCAGCTTGACGCCACGCCCGAGTGGTCGACGCCGCTGATCTTCACGGACCTAAGCGACTCCTTCGCTATTGGACGACTCGACTGACACGTTTCGATGCGTGGGCTCGTCCGTGCAGGAGGGCATGGGCTACGCTGCCCGCTGATGCATCGCCACTACCTGGGCTGCTCTGCCACGTTCCACAAGCTCACGCCGTCCTTCTACGGGGGAAAGGGTGTCTCGTGGATCGACCACTTCGCGCTGCCATCGGGGGCTTTGCCGCGCATCAGCAAACTGGTGACGATGAAGAAGGCCGCGCGGGCCCTGCAGCTCTTCCGCGGCAGGGGCGCGCTGCGGGGCCACCCGCCCCTCCTGCTCGAGATCGACGTCGGCTTCCCCAGCCTGCTGAACTCCACGGGCGCCCTGGCCTGGAACTTCGACGCGGTCGCGCTGGCTCTCCAGACTCCTGACTTGCGCGAGGGCTTCCTGCACGAGCTGAACGGATCCGCGCAGATGCACGAGCCCACCATCTTGGGCATGCTGGAGGCCGGCCGTGTCGATGACGGGCGCCGCGCGCCCATGTCGGTCGCTCAGCCCATCGCCGAGAAGCGCTTCGGCCGCGCCCGTCGCGTTCCTGGCGCGGCCCCGGCTGAGCGCAGTGCTCGCGTTCGCCTCTTGCTCTGGCGGCGGGCTCGGCTTCGGCCCCTGGGCGAGCCCCGCGCGTTCTTCGAAGCCCCGGCCCGCGACCTCTCCAATCGCGTTGGCTGGGACGTGCGACGGCGGGCGAGGGCCTGCCGTAGATCGTGGTCCGAGGGCCGCCATGAGGCCTGGCGCCGCCGCGACCTCGCCGAGGTCCAGCATTTGTTGTTCGTGGTCTCGCAGGCGCGGGGCTTGGCCCCAGGCGCCGCAGTTGCGCGGCAGTGCGCGGGCACCGTGCATCGGCCGATGAACTCGCCGGCGAGCTCGAGCTTTTGGGGGGCGATAGCGGCCCCTCGGCGGCCCAGGGCCCTCCTGGGCGCGTTCCTTTCTAGGAGCGGGCCTCGCTAGCCTCGCGAGGTATTCAGGCCAGGGGTTCGGCGGGAGCGTTGGGTGGGATGGGGCTTTCGCAGAGCCTCGCGGGCGCCCCGCCGCTCGTCTCGCCGCCGCCCTGCCCCCCCGCGGCCTCTGCCCAGGGAAATCCAACGAGCCCCGCCCGACCCTTTTCGGGCTCGGCGCCGAGCCTGCCCCGCCCACGGCGGGCCACGTCACCGCTGGGCCCGAGGGTCTCGCCGCGCGCCGGATGGCGCGCGGGGGATTTCCGACGCGCGCGGGTATCTCGATTGTCCTGCAGTTTCCCAAGCCCGATGGTGGCGCGCGTTTCTTGCGCGGCCACTGCCCCTTCCTCGGCGTTGCGGCCCGCGGCGTCTATCGCTCTGTGCCTCGCGGCAGCCCCCGACGCGTTTGACCGCGGTTCCATCTCGCGCCGTAGAAGAGATCGGGGTGCACGCGCTGTCGGATCGCTTGCGCTCGGCGCGGGTCTGACACACCGCTGTTTTTGACGACGCGAAGGACACTGTTGGCTGCTGCGCGCGCTCGCATGGACCAGGGGCTGCATCAGTTTCTTCCTTCAGCTGGCGCTACTTCTCGCCAGCGGGCGCGTCGCGTGCGTCTTGCGCATGGGCGGAAAG